CCCCCCGCTTCTGCCCTCTCCTGCAGCTGCCACATTAGACGTGGGTGAGTGGGCTACAACCAACCACGGACTTCCCGTGGAGCAGCATTTGCCTCAGAAATAAGAGCACCAGGTAGGTCTTACCTGGAAGGTTTCTTGCCTGCGTTTTCTTTTTTAATCTAAGCCCAGAGGAAGATCAGAGCGGGGGAAGGGGGACTTACGAGTCACTGCTGCACTGCATGTCGGATTCCTCTTCGGACTCTTCTGACTCAAGGGCCGCAATGGCTGCAAAGAAGAAAGGTGCCTGGTGGGCCCCTGCGTGGAAATGCAGCCAAACGCTCTAGAAGTCTGGGCAGGCTACCTGCTCCTTCTAGGAAAGGTGTGTGACCAACATTTACCTAATTCCTCCTCTTCTTCATGGAAGCTTTGGATTTCTGTCTGAACACAGACCAAAAAAGTCCTTGTTACCACCAGCACCAGGATTCCCACCAAGAATTAAACCTCCAGAGCAGTGTTTCCCAAACTTGACAATTTTAAGGCATGTGGACTTCAACTCCCAGAATTCCACAGCCAGCAACGCTGGCTGTGGAATTCTGGGAGTTGAAGTCCACATGCCTTAAAATTGTCAAGTTTGGGAAACACTGCTCCAGAGGGAAATCCAAAGACAGCAGCATGGGCGTCCTGCCTCACCTCTTCTGGAATGTCAATGCTGGCCTCCTGGGTCTGGGCAGCCGGCAGCTGCGGAATCGCCTTCTGCAACCTCTGGGAGAGCCAGAAGACCAGCCCCTGGCCAGTCCTGCGGGGAAGCGGAGGAAGCAGCTGAGGAAGCGCCAGGGACAGGAACAAGGAAGCAGGCAGCAGAGGTCATTTGGCCAGAACTGCTCTAAAATAACAGGCAAAATTGCAGCATCCCAGCCATCCCAGAATTCCTGCTTGGGACCTCCTTACCTTGGCCCTTCCTGCCAACGCTCTCACTTTGGGGCTCTCGGAGGGCAAAGCTGGCGCAGGTGTGGCCTCTTTTTCTCCTAGATCAGTGTTTCCCAAACTTGACAATTTTAAGGCATGTGGACTTCAACTCCCAGAATTCCACAGCCAGCGTTGCTGGCTGTGGAATTCTGGGAGTTGAAGTCCTCATGCCTTAAAATTGTCAAGTTTGGGAAACACTGTCCTAGATAATGGATTCCAGCCAGCAAAGTGATCCTTTCTCCTCCCAGAGCCAGAGACTGACCCACGCAGGACAGTAATCCACACTGTCCCTGCAGATCGTCCAAGAGGCCGCTGGGGAAAAGAGTGGCCTCCTTCCCCACTGGAAACCCCTGTAAAGGAAGCCCCTGGTACCTCTCCCTCAGCAGCCACAGGTCCACGGTGCCCAAGTCTTCTCCTTGGAGGGATGCTAAATGGGAAAAAAGCCGGTGAGTCTTTGAGGGTGACAGCAGTGAGTCTGGAGGCTGCTTGTGAGCCTTTCTCCGCACGAAGCACTGCCTCCAGTGAGAAGCCATTTCTTCAAAGCCACAGAAGATATCTGCTCCTGCCCCACCTAAATTCTACCACTGCTTTCAGTAACAGCCTTTTTTCTCAGGGGTGGTTGCTGGCTTTCCCCAGATCCTCAGCATCCTTCTCCTTCAGCCACACCAGCTGGAGCTCCTGGGACTGAGGCCCAGCAACGCTGGGAAGACCAGGCTCCCCGGGCCTGCTTCTGGAAGGGACCAAGGCGGTCTTGGGGCTGCTGTGGCTTCAGAGTATTTACTCAGGAAGGGGAAACGTTTTACCCAGGGCAAAACTGAAGCAGCAGCTTTGAGGATGGGGGGTACATCACCCCAAAACAAGATAGAACAATCTAGCCAAAGCTCAGTTCTTTATTTACTCACACCAATAGACAGACTCTTGCCAGACTAAATCTGTAATTGCTCTCACCCAATGGGTATGCCCTGAAAGATTCTTGGAGTGGCTATCCCAAATCTCTCCCTCTTCCCATAATCCAGCTCCGGTCTGTGCTGTCTCTTGTCTCTCCCCACCTCTCCTTGGAATGTGCCCCCTCCTTCCTGGGCATCTGCCCCTTTACCCTAGCCCAGGGGTAGGCAACCATGACTCTTTTTATGACTCGTGGACTTCAACTCCCAGAATTCCTAAGCCAGCATAGGAATTGACCAGACCCAATTTTACAATCATTTTTATCATGGTGAAGTGAATCATGCAGTTGTTAAGTGAATCTGGAGTTCCCAATTTACTTTGCTTATCGGACGCTGGCTGGGAAGGTTGCCAATAGCAATCATGGGCCACAGAGTCATAAATGGAGCTGGCTGCCAAGGGCCCAAATTGCAACAGGTGACTGCGGCAGTTACGCAGGAATCAAGTGTGATTCTCCCCCACCAGGACCTGACAGAGCACACCCCACGGGACTGGCACAGGGCAAGAACTGCCCTGGGCAGAGCTGGGCACCTGCCTACCAAAGCTTTGAGGGGGAGCTGATTTACCTTCTGCTGGGTTGCAGCAATCTCCTCCTGGCAGCTTTAAGCAAAGAAAGGATTATATGAAACATCAAGCAGGGGAAGATGGAACAGCCAGCAGGAGGCTTTGACTCCATCCTTGCTAGTCCCCTAGTTCTGAGCAAATTCTGCAGTGCTCCCTGAGAACATCAGCCCTTGAGGAAGGGAAGCCAATCTGGCCAGTCCTTCAAGGCAGACCAGATCAGGAAACCAAAGTCATACATGCTAAGACTATTTTTTAATTATAAGGTCACAGTAACAAAATCTTGCAAATCTCCCCTGCCTTTATCTTTATAAGAACTGTAGAAGGTCTCATATGAGACGTTTTTTCAGCTCTCTCCACATCAAGTGGGTTCATCTGCTGGCCATAACTGTCTCAGAATAAAAGGAATAAAGCAAAACAGAGTCTAGCAGTTCTATGCATTGTGGGATCTCTGCAACTGTTTTGCCATAGTGCCTGCTGCAGCCTATCCCGCTGAGCCCCTATATGGTGCATTCACTTCAGCAGAGCAAGCTGGGGGAATGCAGCCACACTACCACAGCCTGTTTAGCCACCAGCAGCCAAGTGGCCAGTGCAACCTCAGACCATGACACAGAATGACCCAAGAATTATTCTCCCACTGTGTCCCTGAAAGGTCCACTTCTCCTTGTGAAAAGTTTGAGAACTGATTGGGTTTTGCACACGCTCATTTGGCACTGGCTGGCATTCTGTGGAGGTAAGAGAACTAATGGCCACTTTGAGGCAGCCACTCACCAGCTTGGCAAGTCCTGGTCCATCCACAGCTGCACTCTGTTCCATTGGTGCGTCCTTCTCTCCCACTACAGCAACATGGATCTTCACAGGAGGCTGGGGTACCACCTTCTCAATCCAGTCAAACATCCTGGCACTGGCACAAGGCTGAATCAAAGACAGGATGCCAATGTTGAGCCAGGGGAGACACAGAAATTGGATGATTGAGAGAAGCTCTGAGATTAAGAAGCGACTGGAAAAGAAACCCCAGAGGGAGGTTTATCAAACAGAGAGACAAGCTCAACTGCAGAGAAGCAGCTTCCCATCTGCTCTCCTTGCAGATGAGAGTCCAGATCTCTCTGCTGTGATCAGAGCCACACAATGATCTGTGGTCCTCTTCAGGTGACTGAAGTAGTCCACCCAGCTCATCACCTGCACGTGGGGAGCAACATCCCAGCCCTGCCCTCTCACTGTAAAAGCAACATTTTCCTCTCTTCTTCCCGAGGGGAGGGGGCATTCCCCCCATGTCCAGTTACAAGACCAGGCCCCTCTTGAGGAAACGGCTCTGAGGGCTGCTGATACTTCAGCACCTGATGGGGCTGAACCTGGGGGTGGGGGTTACCTGGATGCCCAAGCCCCCCCTCCTTCCTGGGAGTGCCAGGGATGAGTCCCAAGGACCTGGGAAGAGAGGCTTTCCAGAACTCCGAGGATCGGGGTGGGGGCCCGGGGCACCAGGCAGGCTCTGGCTGCTCTGGGAGCGCTTCCTGCCGGGGCCACACTTACCCGGAGCAAAGCCAAGGGGAGGCTCTGCCCCCTTTCCTACCCCAAGGAAAGAAGGACCAAATGAGGCAGGTAAGATGGCCGTCTGCTTCCTCCTGCTGCCCCTGGAGAGAAGGCTGGCTCTGCTGCCCAGGTGCCCTGGGAAGCTGGGCACGGGATTAATTAGCTCAGAACAGAGAGTGCAAATTGGATTAAGGCAGCAGGCTTGTACTCAAATCCCAGAGAGCTGCACTACCCCAACCTCCTCAGGCCCCCACCCACGGGTAGATGAGGGCCTTGCCGAGGAGGAGACTGTCTGCAGCCGAGGGGTGCACTGCGGGGGACACGTTGCAAGAGGAAACCTGAGGGCCCCGGGGCCTCTGACAGGGAGCAACACAAGTCTCTCGATGCTGCTCTCGGGTCACCTGGATTGGCATCAGCCTCCCCCTCCGTCTGCAAGGGAGGGCCTCCTTCTGGTCAGGGAGGTCGGCCAAGCCACTCCCGGATAATCCAAGGATTTGGCTGTTGCCTCGGTTGCTAGGAGATGAGGCCTTTTGCACCCTCAGCAAATTGCAGATGGCTTAGCGCTGTTTCCAATGGCTTCGTTCAGGTCTCTGATGCTGCCCAACTCAGAGTAAGGCACAACACAAAAACAAGCATGTTTTGCCCCCTTCCCATCGACATCCTATCTCCGTGTCCCTTGTTTCCAGAACTTCAATTCTTTTTTTCCTTTTAGTTGCTTATAGTAGTTATAAGCAACTGTTTGGAAACCTTGGGAAACATCTGAACTTGACATTTGGAGGCTGCTGGGGAGGGGGGCTTAGTTCAGTGCCTCCTCTGAGCACTAGAGAGGGACCCGGGCCACAAGTGGCCTGGCTGGGGTCGCCTAGCGACCTGGCCCTCTTAACCAACAATTCCTGGCTTCCTGAGGTTGTCATGGAGACTGAGGGGGCAGGGCCCATACGGTAGACAGGCACTCAGCAGGTGAGGGTTTGAGAGATGCCCCAGGACTCTCCTTCTTCTCACAAGTTGGGCCCACATCTGGACAGGAGCTTGCTTGGCATCGCCACCCCAAAGCAACGGGCCCCCCGGAGCACCCCTTTCTGCACCTCCCTAACTGTCTGGCTTACCTGGTCCTTCCTGCCCTCCTTTGTGCTGTGCAGTGCCCGTCAAAAGATTAGGGTAAGCAGCTTCCCTGCCAATTGAAAAAGGAAGACTGGGGAAGAGAAGGGATCATTCTAAATGTCTAATAATAGTAACAATATATTGAAAGCAATTACCTTAACATTATAGCATGATTATTGTTGTTGTTGTTGTTGCTCACAAACTCAGCCAGATGTTTAGAGGGTATTTGTCAAGGACCTAGGATAGGCAGATGTGGATGTTACAGATATTGCCACAGGATGTAAGCCATTCCGAGTAAAGCTGCCTTTTGCAATTGACTGTTGGTGAATTTTTCAATGAGGACTCCACTTGTTTTGGGATTGCCCTCAAGGCAGCTATCACTAATTGGTACTGTCTTTACTTTCTTTTGCCACAGTCATTTTAATTCTATTTGCAGGCCTTTGCATTTTGTGATTTTCTCCAGTTCTTTCTATTCTGCTGTCTCCAGGCACAGCCATGCCCACTATCCAGATTTTTTTATCTTTCTTATCAACAGTTATTAAAACGGGATGTTACGTGATAGATGCTTGTTTGTCTCAATTCTAAAGTTATCTGCTCGCAACAATGTGAAGTCACAGCAGCCAGTCCTTTAGCTAGAGTTGGCCTTCATACGCATCAGTTTCTCACCAAGAACCCTAGGATGTCATAATATATCAGCATAGTGTATGTATGGATCCAAGCCTTTCACCTATCAATTGCATATTTTGTCAAGGTGCACATTGTCTGTCCATGATTTTCTGGAATTACCAGAGGACTGGAAAAGAGTGTGATTCCCATCTTCAAAAAAAAAAAAAAGGGGGGGGGGGAAGGGAAACAGACCCAGGAAACTACAGACCAATCAGCCTAACATCAATACCTGGGAAGATACTGGAAAAGATAATCAAAAAACAGATCTGCGAACATCTAGAAACAAATAAAGTGATGACTAAAAGCCAGCACGGGTTTGTTAAAAATAGTTCATGCCAAACCAATCTTATTTCATTCTTTGACGAAGTGACTAAGTGAGTAGACCAGTAAAATGCTGTGGACATAGTATACCTAGACTTCTGCAAGGCATTTGACAAAGTGGACCACAACCTACTTCTTGGTTAGCTAGAAAAATGTGGGATAGACATCTCCACCAGATGGATTTGTAACTGGCTGACAAACCGTACTCAATGAGTAGTCCTTAATGGTACTAGGTCTACATGTAGGGAAGTAAGCAGTGAGATACCACAAGGTTCTGTCTTAAGCCCAGTATTCTTCAATGTCTTCATATCTTCTCTCTTTTGGGCTGGCTGGCAAAATTTGCAGCAATGGCCCAAGCTCTGGACTTGGTGCCTTGGCCGCCAGATGCCAGCCCCATCTACGCAGCACCCGCAGTTCTCATTCCCCTGGAGCCCAAGAAGACCATGTTAGCTGGAGTGAAGGAGCGCCTCTACCACCCCTGCCTGCCAACCCTGAGGCGCATGGACATGGACACCATGGCCCACAGACTCACCGACACACACTCCAGGACCACCACCACCTGCTCCAAAGGTATCAGCCCAGCCAAGCTGTCTGGGAGCAGAGCCAGGGCAGGTCATCTGCTCCTCTTGGTGCAATGCAGTCCGAAGGCGAGCCACGGCGGCCGTGCAGTCAGAGGCCCCAGACCGGAGGCAGAACTTGGCCTCTTGCTCCAGCCGGCCAACTAGATGGGACAGGTGAAGCTCTGCCTGTCCTGGGCCTCCTAAATGTTTTGATATGATCTTCTTTTAACGGGGAGAGGGCAAATCTTAAAAGTTTAGTTGGTGCCCCCTCCTCTGTGTTTTTTGGGGGGAGGGTTCCTTCTCTACATCTGCCAGGCCTCCAGGGCCCCCTCTGGGATGCAGCCAGTTTTCGGTAGCGCTTCCAAGCGCCCGAAGCGGCCTCCCCGCGACTTCTCTGCTTGGTGTCTTCTGCAGAGGATTTCCAAAGGGCGACCTTCACCTTGGCCGGAGTGCCCAGCAGGCTCCTCCCCTCCCGGGTGAGTCTCTGCCCGGCGGACTGGGGCCCCGGGGCCACGCGGGAGGGGGGAGAAGCAGGCCCCGGCCGGAGATCCGACGCCACCGGCGAGGCGCTCTCGGGCAACGCCGCTCCCCCACCTGGATTCTGGTTTAATCGCTCCAGCTGGTCGCGGCTCGGGATGGCTTCGGGCCTGCCGTCTGCGGAGCGAGCAAGTTGCAGCCCGCGCGGCTTTCCCAGGTCAGCCGACCGGCCGAGGCCGCCACCTGCCGGGGGAAGAAGCCGCGGCCGGCGCTCGGAAGGCCCTGCGCGTAGGGAGGTCGACGGCGGGCGGGCGGGCGCGGGGCTTTCCCTTCCCGCCGCCCCGAAACGCCCCCGTGAGCGCTGCTGCAGCCGCCTCCCCCCTCCGTCTCTCGCCAGGCCGTTCTGGAGCTGCGCCAGTCGCGGGCCGGCCGGTACCGCGCGGGGAAGCTGGCCCCGCTGCCGCCCGGTACCAACCAGGAGGAGTGGCCCAGCTACACGCGCGCCATGGAGGACTGGTCCCGCTTCGTCTCCGCCGCCGGCGAGTTCGCGCTGCCCAGCCTCAACCGCAAAGGTAGGGCTCGCGGGCAGCGGCTGCACTTCTGCCGGGGATGCGGAGATGCACGCTCGGCGGTGCTGCGGCGAGTCCGCGGCAGGCTGGAGGGCCGCGACCCTCGAGGGCGGATCCCTCAGCCAAGGGGGCCCTTTCTGGCTACTTGCCTGAGTCAGATGTGCCAACACTGTGACCTGATGATGTGACCTGGCTGGGTAATGAAACATCTTGCAAGAAAACCGCCAAGCTCAGAGAGCACCAAGGACCCCTCATTTCAACCCTGAGCTACAAATATTCTCTTTTTCTTTTCTTTTCTTGTTCCTCTCTTCTCCTTCATCTTTCTCAGTTCTTGGGTTCAGCTGTTATGCTGTCAGATACTTAAAACCAGACATCACTCAAACCTGGAGGGTAAGCAAGAAGTTCTCCCTTCTCCCAACCTTGTTCCAGGGATGGGGTGCTCCAAAGACATTTTTAAAGGGCAGAGGGGATCTCAGTCCAACTGTCGGATCCTTGATTCCTTAAGAAGGGTGGAGATAGCAGTGCAAATATTTCCTCTAGTCTAGTTTTGTTTTGTTGGCCAGGAAGGGCTCTTTTAGCCGAAGAATTGCCAAGACCACAATGTGAACGGGACTCCAGCAATTAGATCCTAATGTTTTGATGGAACATTTTAGAGCCCAGAGCAGGGAACTGGCTCTTTCTGCGCCAGGGGAGAGCAAGCAAGCGCAGGGGGGGCCTGGGCCCCTGCCTGACTGCAGGAAGGGGGGGAGCGTCACAGAAAGGGGGAGGACGGAGGAGAAGCATGGATGTCCTCAGTTTTAATATAAGGCGTCTTCTTCCGCTTTTTTCTGCTAGTATTGCCTCAATCAGAATCCCAGCCTGGATCGATATGGACCAAAGCCTCTTCCTTACAACACCGTGTAAATATCACCCCTGCACTGCCTCCTGCCTGGGGCTCATCCCCCTCCTTCCCCCCTCCCCCCCCCCCCCCGCTTCCCAGCAACTCACCACAATGTTCTGTTCTTTGGCTACAGGAACACCTACAGGAGCTTTGGAACCGCCCACAGGTACCTGACTCTTTGGGGGGGGGGAGACCGAAAGCAGTGTGGCTGGGGGGGGGGAGAGGACTCTGTTCTCTCCACAGCCCCAGGTGGAATTGCCTAGTTGCAAGAATTTTGTTAGCTGAGGGCAAAACTATTTGCAATGCCAAACCTGATAGAATCACAGTATGTGGGAGGAGGTACCAATTTTCCAAAAAACTCTTTTGAAGATGCTAGAGTAGAAGAGCCAACTGGCCTTGGCCGACCTGAACCAAGCAGGGCTGAGCCTGGGTCCTACTGAATAGGAGAGTCCAAGAAATGTCAGGGTTGCAGGCTGGGCTGCTGTGAAGAAATCTCATGCTCCAGGCTGTTCAAACGACCATGCGACCCCCAGGAGGCTGCCTGCCGAGGAGAGCTGCAGAGTCAATGGCTCCTACGTGGAGAAGCTCCTGCTCCCCAGTCATTCCTCTCTGGGGCTCAGGCAAAGCTCTTCTGCAGTGATCCTGGACCAGCCAATGCCATCTCCAGCCTGGGGAGGGATCCACGGGGAGGATCCTCAAGGCTTGGGCAGACATGGAGCAAACGTGTGTCCTTTTTCCTTCCAGCCGCTCTCACTACCTTGAGCCCTGGCGCTAAGGAGCTGGTTTCTGAAGAGGCCTGCTTGCCCAGGCGTTGAGCATCCACAAACAATAAAAGCTATTAGTGGCCGAGGAAGGCACCTCCCAGGCAGGCAAATGTTTTCGGCCTTGTGCTTTAAGTCTGAAGGATGCAGACCAAGAGGAAAGGCCTCCCTCCGGGTGTAACAAGAAGCAGCAGCCCCAGCATCTGAGCACCTTCTGAAACAACCTAGGATCTGACCAGCCTAAAAAGGGCAGCATTTTTCTTTCACCATATGGAAAATTGGGGGACCAAGAAGTCCTTGTTCTCATCTGCAGCTCACGGATATGATGGCACTGAAAATAGTTGCTTATGACTGGTCCTCACACTTACAACCGTCGCAGCATCCCCATGGCCACATGATCAAAATTCAGGCACTTGGCAACCAGCCTGTATTTAAGATGATTGTAGCATCCTGGGGTTATCTGATCGCTATCTGTGACTTTCCCAGCTGGCTTTTGACAAGCAAAGTCAATGGAGGAAGCTGGATTCGCTTAATAGCCGCACAATCCACTTAACAACTGCAATGATTCATTTAGCAACGCTAGCAGAAAAGATTAAATTGGGTGCAACTCACTTAACAGTCACCTTAGCAACAGAAATTCTGGTGTTCTGGGTACTTTCTCATTAGACTCACCAGAGTTTTGTTCTTGAAGGTGCCGCTTTCCGGCCCAGGAGCCGAGGGAAATTGATGGCCCCTGAAAGAGACCCTGACTGACTGCACTGCCAGCCCAACCCCAGAAGCATATCGGGGCTTCTGCCCATCCAGAAGTGTTGACTCTTAGAAGTGGGCAAGATCAAGAAACATGGCGGGAGTCCCAGGCACATCTGCCTGCAAAGCCTGCCCAAGTTTCTCCCTGCCCATATAAGCAAAGTCAAGATTGGGTTATTTTGAGTTTCTTTCTCAGAAGTGACCCGTTTTTTCCCTTTCCATTCCAGGGTCATACATGCATTCCTTTGCACCAAGGCTGTTTTCCCCACCCACCACTCTCCTTGCTTCCTTTCTTGCCTGTGCGAAGAAGAGGGAAGTCTTCAGCTGTCAGTTCCCCACCCCAGAGGGCTAAAAGATGAGAGAAGGGGCAGCACTGGGGGAGGGGGCTGGCAGACTCTCCCGCAACCCAAAGGGAAATGACCTTAAATATCAGGGCTCAGGGCAGTGCCAGCAAAGCTTTGGCTGATCAAAAGGATAGCCCTCCTGCTTGGCACGGCTGGTGCCAACTGAAGAGAAAAGCCACCTTAGGAAGGGAGCAAGGAAAGACGGGCAGAGGATGCCATGCATCCATGTCTTTCCAGATGATCAGGAATCCTCACACCAGGGTAAGCAGCAGGTGCAAATGAATGTTGGTTTCCAAATAACCGAGTTTAGCCTGTTCTGCAAAGAACAGCCACCTTTGGAAAATAATCCCCAGCGTGACTAGTTTTGCAGTTGGCATCTGTGGCTGTTGGGCATGTTGGTAGGAGCTGCTGACATTGCCACTCTTACATCCGAGAACCAGGACAGCAACTGCACCCCTGAACCAAAACTTTCAGCAAGGCTCCAAGGATGAGCCTTGTCTCATCCTGGCATTTCCTCTGTTCCGCAGGTGCATTAAACAAGGCCATTTACTCTCCAGCCCTCTCCAAAGTAGCAGCCTCTGGCGCTCCACCCTTTGCTGCTCCCAGTTGTGCCAACGCCAACTGCTCTCCAACCGCTCTCGAAGCCCCACTTGAAGTTTTAACACCTGGATGTGAAGGTGTTGCTGGCCTCACCTCCTTCTGCCTTGGAGGCTTTGTTGTCTGTGCCCCTGCACAGACTGCCCGATTCCTCCAATGCGTCTTGTTAGAATTCTGGCAGAAATTGGTCCAGCCTTGAATGAGTCCATTGTTGTAGAAAAGCTGCTGTTGTGATCTCAACTGTCCACCCTCAGTTCGGCAGTGTTACCATTCAAGAGCCTTTGGGTGACTGAGCTTCCAACAACCCCTTAGGATTCAGCAGCTGACATTCAATAATGGGGCAATTGTTTGTGCCCAAGCGGCTCATTCCCACACTCAGATGTATTTCAAATTGTTTTAAGTGAGTGTAATCTAAAGTAACCCCCGGGTCTACCAGGTTTTTGATGTTCAATTCCTGGTTCGCCTCTTGATTGCACAAATATCCACCTGAGGCTGCTATGCATAATCCAATCTTGGATTGTATTGATAGAGACATATTGCTTGTGTTGACCTAGAGTAGACACCATATCCGATACTGCAGGAACACCATGCGTCTGGGTCTGCATTCGTGGCATCTATGCCTTCTGTAAGCAACCAAATGTTGGTCTTGGCATCAGTTTGGGACAAGCCCCCTTCCATTTACGACACCTTCTTATCCACCAACTGTGAAGGGAAAACGGGAAAGTGGGGAGAGAAACTGATGTGCTGCCTGAACTCTTTAGGGATCAGTAGAATTAAAATCCAGAAAGACACCTTTTTTGTTGACAGGAGCCTCCTTGTCTTGCAACAACTGTGTGCTGTTAAATGTATGCTGTTCTTGAAACGTTGACTGCTTTAAAAAGTACTGGTTTTACCCATCCAATTCCCAGTTCTGGTGCTTACCATTTTCACTGAACTTGTTCACAGGAGCTCGGCTTAAAACCCAGCCTATGCATCAATTCTTGGGCAAGTTCATTTTCTCACACCTGGCCTAACCTAAAGGATGTTGCAACAGATAAATAGAATGAGGTAGTTCTGAGCTCTTGGCAAAAGAGCATATTTCTTTTTAAAAAAATTGAATATATTGGGAAATCTGCCCTGGGTGCAATACAAGTATTTCCCTTCCAAATTTTGCCTAGAACCCGGCAAGGCCTATGTTAGCAACAGAAAAGCAAAGCACCAAGAGCCTCACTTTGTATCTGGGCATGGGACCCCAGTTATATGAAGGACGCATCTTCTGGCTGTGTTCGACACTTTCCTTAGCTGCTACATATTTTAATGTTTATATTCTTGAAACTATTTTTAATTGACTTTAATTTTGTTTGCCACCTGCTCACTTGAGATGGGTAGCCATCGAAAATAAAGCAAGACAAATTCACTTTTTACTGGGATCGTTTGTTACCTACATTTTTATAGTAAGGAGATGAACTGAGAAGTCTCTTTTTCTTAGTGATTCCTGTTCTCAAAAAGAAAATGTCACTCCTAGCCATCCCCATGTAGACCCTGGGCAACGGACAGGGTAGAAATTGTTCCTCCAAAGCTGCAGGAATTTCCTGTGGTTCTGCAAATGTTCAGCTTATATATATTGTGTATATAATACAATATATACATGGCATATATAATATAGCTTGTATTATTCACTGCACAAAGAGAGATCCCAAGCAAGGATTTAAGCAGAGGAACAACCAGGGGCTCGTAAGGCTGAAGGGTTGCTTGAAGTGCCAAAGGACCTCCTGCAGGAGGGAACCCAATGGACAAGGCTTGGATTGGGCTCCGTGCTTGATTCTGCCTGCCCAGAACAGCTCAGGCAGGCAAGTCTGCTCAAGCACTCTGGTTCCAAAGGCAGAGAACACCGTGGGCCTTTTTGCTTGGGATTTCAAGCTCCCACTGCAGCTGCTTCGCCGAGGCCCAGGCTGCCTGTTGCTTTCTGAACACTAAGAGTGAAAATACAGCTCCCCCCCCCCCCGCCGCCCCAAAATGGAATGCCGTTGCCAGAGAGGAGAATGCTGTCTGCTGGGAGCAAACTGACCCTCCAGTCGGCAGGGCCGCAGGCAGAAGGCCATTTCTCTTAAAAGACCAGCCCAGCAGAGAATGAGTGGCCAAATCAGCCTGGCTTCCTACAAACGCTGGAAGACTTGTGCCCGATCTCACACTGGGACCCGGGTGTCCCAAAGAATATTCAGAATTTAGCTGAAGAAAAGGCTCAAGCGAGAAAGGGAATGCAGCACGGAGGAAAAGGGGCTCGGGCAGGAGAGGGGGCAAGCAGGCGGAAAAGGAAGAGTTGGGGGAGGAGGGGAGAGAAACAATGGAGCCCGCAGAAAGGAAGCCCACGAAGATGAGGATGCAAAGAAAAGCCGCCCGAGGGAGGGCCTCCTTGGCGCTCAGGAAAGGGAGAGGCCTGGGGACCTGCTTGGTGGGCTCCGGGCAAAGCCTTTCAAGTCCCCCCCCCCCCAGAAGTGAGACGGGAGCCTCCCCCAGGGACAAAGAAAGGCCCACTTTTCTAGGACTGATGAATTCAAATTAGGGAGACTCCATATTGCGCACAGCTTTTGCAAGACTGTAAAACTGACATCCAGCTGAGCTACCTGGTAGTTGATCACGACTTTTAAAAAAAGCAGTTCCAAAAAGGAAAATTCCCTAAAGGCCACCTCAGCGCTGTGGGGTGCCATGAAAAGGCCCAGGGCCTGCAAGAAGTCAGCAGCTCTCCTTGCTTGGTGCCCCCACCCCAGACTAATTATGCTCTGCTCCTCCTTCACAAGTGATTCAGCCAAAGGGATCTGGGATAGAAAGCCACTCCCCCCGCCCCAGCCAAAACAAGATAGCATCACTTGCTTTTTTATACTGACCCCACTGCTGGTTTACAGCCATCTTCTACTTTAATGCAGGAAGAGATTTCTACGCACCTCATACACATGTATATGCACAAACATGCACCTGCTCCACGCACACTGGTCCCCGATGAAGGCATCTGCAGAAGTTCAACTATCTCAAGTGCTCCCCTTTTGCACTTGGGGCTCCAAATGATACAATTCCAGGACAGATCAGTGCAGTTTTAATTAATGTTTTCTGACCAAGCTCTTCAGTTGCGTGTCTTGAACGTTTACATTTCTCAGAGGTTACACAGAGAAGCCTATCTATTTATACCACAGGGGAGGGGGGAGGGGGGAGAAAGAGAAGGCTGGGGGTCTGCTCTAACTTTATAATACGTTTAAATAGATAAATTGAGGTTTTCCTCCATGCCCTTCCTGCTACATTTCCAATGGCTGGAGTGGAGGAAATTCAGTCCTGATGCTTGTAGACTATTGAAGCCAAAACAACCATATAAGGGCTGTCGGCTGGAGCATCTGCATGGAGAAATCGTGGCAATGAGTACGAGGAGGCCTTTCAGCCTGGCATGCACGCCTCCTGGGTGCTGCTTCAGGGTTCCTTCTCAGCCGCTCTGAGTCCTGCTCCATTGTTCACAAACAGCAAAGGCTTCACTCAGGAGACGGCCCTTTGCTTGGCGAGCACAATGGAATCACGGCAAGGCCTGGCAGGCTTAAACAGCCAGTCTTTCCAAAGCCAGACACGGCCAGACTCGGACTTGGGCACTGCACGGTCCCCTCCCTTCTGTGGCTTAGTTTACTCTCTCAGGTTTGCTCATTGAAGGGCTCTTTTCTGCAGGCTGGGCCAGCTCCAGAAGGAGAGGAGAGCTGTGCTTGGCAGAGGGGCTGCTCAGGGCAGGCAGGGAGCCACTGTGTAAGTGCCTTCCGCAGAGGTGTGCTGTGCGCTGTGCTCCTGCAGCAGGCCCAGGTCCAAGAAGCGCTCACCACACCACATGCACTTGTAGTGCTGCTCTCGGGTGTGGACCCCGTGGTGCTTGTTCAGGTGCTCCCGCTGCTTGAAGGCCTTCTCGCAGGAGGGGCACTTGTACGGCTTTTCTCCCGTGTGGACACGACGGTGGCGCTGCAGGTCAGAGGCATACTTGAAGCGCTTCTGGCAGTCTGGGCACTTCAGGGGCCGTTCGCGGGCAGGATCACAGCGGTGCTGCACAAACTCCGAGGAGGAGAAGAAGCGCCGTTCGCACAGGGTGCAGCGGAGAGGCTTCTCGGCACAGTGCGAAGCCAGCTGGTGCTTCTGCAAGGCGGAGGCCCGCTTGTAGGCCTTGCTGCAGGCCGTGCACTTGAAAGGCCGCTCAGCACTCTGCACGCAGCGGTGGCGCAGCAGCTCAGAGGACTGGCTGAAGCCCTTCTGGCAGGCGTTGCACTTGAAGAGGTTCTCGATGCCATGGACATGCTGGTGGTAGAGCAGGTGGGCTGGCTGCACGAAGCCTTTCTCACACAAGGAGCACTTGAAGGGCGGCGGGGCGGCCTCCTGCTCCGAAGAAGGGGCGGGGGCCACAGCCTTGTGAGTGCGGCGGTGTCGCATGAGCGCATACTGTTGCTTGAAGCTCATCTGGCAAAGGTCACACTGAAAGGGGCGCTCCGTGCTGTGGGTGCGCTCATGCTGTCGGAGGTCTGAGGGTCGCCGAAAGGCCTTGTGGCAAGCCGCACAGCGGAAGGGCCGCTCGCCGCTGGGCGTGCAGGGGTGCTGCAGCAGCTCCGAGGACTCTTTGAAGTGCAGCTCGCAGACGTTGCAGCGGAAGAGGTGGGCCTCGCCTGAGTGGGCGTACATGTGGCGCACCAAGTGGGAGCGGTGCTTGAAGGCCTTCTCACACACGGTGCACTTATAGGGCCGTTCTGCACTATGGGTGCGCTTGTGGTGTACCAGGTGCGAGGACTGGCTGAAGCTCTTGTCGCACAGGCTGCACTTGTAGGGCTTCTCCCCAGTGTGGACCCGCTCATGTCGCGACAGCTCCGAGAGGTGCTTGAAGGGCTTCTGGCAGATCGAGCAGCTGTAAGGCTTCTCCACTGGGGCCCGGTTGAGGGCAGCCGGCTGCTGTGGCGGGGCAGGTTCCTCGGGAGCTGCCACTGCTGCTGCTGCCGCCGCCTTGTAGGTCTTTTCGCAAATGGAGCACTTGACGGCCGTGTTGCCATTATGGACACTGTGGTGTTGGGCCAGCGAGGTGAGTAGAGAGAAGCCCATCTTGCAGACGCCACAGACGAAGGGCTTCTGTTCCACCTGCAGGCACTGATGCTCCAGGAGATCTGTGGCTTGATGAAAAATCTTCAAGCACTGAGTGCACTGGAAGGAGCGGTCGTGGCCACCTTGTAGGCACTGGTGCTCCTGGGGGTTGGAGAGGTGAGACAGGTCGTGTCCACAAACCCCACATTTGGGAGAGGCCTCCCCTCCACCGCTGGCAGAGAGGGGTGGGTGCTGCAGCCCACTGGGCTCCGGCTGCAGGAGGATGCCATACACGGCACAGCCCAAAGGATTCTCGGTCACCGCACTAGGTGGGATGGGGTGCTCTGGAAGGGTAGCTGTGGCCCCATGATGTGAGGGCTGCTGGGGGGGTGGCGGCTGCTGTGACCAGGTTTCTGACATGCTAGAGAGAAAAAGAGGGGGTTCCACAATAAGCAGTTCTGCTGCTCAACTGAGGCAGAGCAATCAAGGAAACCTATTCCTAGAGATCGATCACTAGAGTGGTCGTACGAATCCTCATAGGAGAGGCCAGCTACCTTTGAGACACATCAGACCAAAGCAGGCCAGACATCTTGGTGGCCTCCCAACTCCTTGTCCTTGTTCCGGAAAGCCTCTGAGGAAACCTGCAAGGAAAGAGAACAGGCTAGTAAGAATAACTGACCATTGCCTTTCCAGGAGTAGTGGATTTCAGGTTGGGATCAGGATGCGAGAGCCGCCAAGCATCACCTTCTGCTCTGCATAACAAAGTTCCTTCACATAAAACACAGCATTAAAAACGGGGGATCAGAATCAGCAAGAGAGTTTTACTAACCAGGCCGTAATTCAAGATCTGCCTCTCCCACCACATGTTCCTATAATCCTTGAATTGAAATATCTTGCTGCCTTTACTGCTGTCTGGACTTTGCTCAGTTCTGAAACCAAGAAGTCATATGAGCAACAGACATCATGGTGCCTGGGAGCTCTTTTTTTTGAAGTTAGGAAGATTGGAAGTTGGCCTCTGTGATCCTCAGCCTGGAAAGAACCGTCTGCTCAGTTGCTGGTGGCTACATTACAATCAGAAAAATACTCATTGCAAGGACCACTGATGGAAAAAGAAGAAAACTCAAAGGAGCCTTAGGGTCAATTCCATTTCTTTCAAATGAAGTGACAGATTACCTAAGAATGGTCACATGGCTTACATCTCATCATGTTTTCTCTCAGCTTTCTCATCTTTAGGCTCCACAGCCGGTCCCTTCAGCTGCTCTCTGGGGATCCCCTACTCTCCGTTCCAGGGTGCCCTTTCTGCCTGGGGGGGGTGCAGAACTGGAGACAGGGTCCCAAGGCACCTGCCCAGCACATCCCAGAGTGGAAGGGCTGCTCTGAGTCTGATGCAGGTTCTGCCCAGGATAGGAACAAACCCCCAAGTCCCTCCAACGGCTGCCACGCATCAGACAGGCTGTCAGCGCAGCCTGGCGCTTGTTCCAACCACGGCTACTCTAGCGGGGGCGGGGGTCTCAAGCCCTTCACATAAACTCGACCCGGATCCTCGGCCCGAAAGCGCCGGTCGCCCCCATCTCCAGAGCTGCCGCCTCCCTCCGCTCCTCCAGAGGCAGAGAAGGGGAGCACGAGAGCCGCAGCCGGGCTTTGGGGCAAACTTTCCTCCCGCGGCTCTGCAGCGGCGCCCTTAGATTTGCATGAAGAAGACCCGGACGGGCGAGCCACCCACCGCCGGGCAGGGCTGGTGGCTGTGAGCCCCCCCCCCGCTTCCATTTCACGCCGCGACCCGCAAGGCCGCCCTTGCCAGTTCCTGGGCCGCGCTTCCTCGGCGCTGGTCTGGGGAAGCCCACCGGGCGACCGAGAGAAGCGGTGGGGCGGCGGCTGGAAGCCCCGGAGGCCGAGAGGGCCGACCGCCGGGCGGGGGAGACCTGCGCGCTTCTCGGGCGGGCCAGGCGAGGGAGCCCGGCAGACGGAGCGCGGCGCCCTCTCGCTCGGCCCCGCAGCGCCCTGGCTCGCCCGAGACCCCGCGGCGCCGCCCTCCTGCCTACCTGGGGCCTGGCGCGCCGCTCCGATCCCCGGACTCGCGTAGCGGGCGGGCGGGCGAGGCCGACTGGCTGGCTGGCCGAGAAGGCGGGGGGGGGGACTCCGGCGGACGGGCGGATGAGCAGGCGCCTGGAGGAAGGGGCGGCGTCAGGGAAGAGCCGCGGGATCGGCGCTGCCCTCTGCCGGACCGCAGGGGCAGCCGCGTCGGACGCGAGGGGGAACTGGGGGCGAGCGCCCCTGCTGGTGGGTCCGCCCGCTCTGCCTCTCGGGGCAGAAGGCCTCCGTGGCCCCGTGGCTGGCAGCCGACGGGATCCCGAGGAAGGGGCGGCAGCAGGCGGAGCTGGCCGGTCTCTTGTGCTACCCAGCCGGGGAGGCTCCTTGGAGAGCGTGAAATCCTCCCCGCCGCCGTCCGGGACGGCTGTCCTGAGACCGCCTCAGCCAAACGGCTCCTCTTGGGAACCGCGGCGACGGAGCCGGCTGCTCTTCTGTCAGCGCTACCCAAGATCGCGTGGCTCTTTTGGTAGCGGCAGCACCCAGGTGGCCTTTGCCCAACCTTCCAAGCCCCCGGGACCAACCTTGCCCCCAGGGCTCCGTTTTTGTCTTGCCCAAGTGCAAATTTGCGTTTCTGAACTGCACCTTATTAAATGAGGACCAATATTTAAGCATATCAATATCCTTTTGTAGCCTAATTTGTGGGGTTAGCATCTGGAAATTTTATCACCACACCTTTTATTTCCTCATGTTCATCCTTTATAAAAAAGATTGAAGAGCAGGTTCCCCTGGGCAAGCCGCCCAACCAAACTCTCATTTATTTTCCCCAAAGTTCCTGTGAGTTTAGGACACAGTGGGGAGGGAAAAGGGAAAGAAAAGCAAAGGGGGAAAAAAGAAAAGGCATTGACTTCCGACTTCCTTTGTTGCAGTACATTGAACCTCAACTTTTTACTTTTTCATAATAGTATAAACTAGCCATTTCTATAACAACAAATCAATCTAATCAGTAAAACCCAAAAAGTTTCATTTTTTTCCCACCTCAAGCACAAAATCTAGAAGTGGTTCCACGTAGAAACAAAAGTACTTATATTCTTTTGTTTAATCAAAACAGTCAATTTAGCCATCTCTGGGAACTCGAATTGAAATGTCATTTCCCCCTCTTTTGAAGATGGGACCTGCACCGGTTCTTTTCCAGTCCTCTGGTACTTCCCCGGTGCTCCAGGATCTTTGAAAAGTATGGCTCAGTAGTTCTGAGATCAGGTCTGCCAGCTCCTTCAAAACCCTGGGACGTTATCCATCCGGCCCTGGTGCTTTGAACTCATTTAGTGCGTATAGGTGTTCCTTCACCATTTCTTGTCTACTTCGAGTTTTATTCCTAATAAATAGGACTGTTTGTGAAGGCTAGGCTGTTTTTTGTTTTTGCATGAAGACAGATGCAAAAAATAAATTAAGTAGCTCTACTTTCTCCCTGCGTCTCCCGGTGGAGACGACTCTATAGGCTGTAAGTCCTCACCAGTGGGCCAAGATATCATTTCTGCGCATGCGTGACGCTTCGGTTTCCGGGTCGCCTCTCGCGCTTCCGGCATGAGAGCGGCGCTGGTGGACTACAGCAGCTCCGGCTCGGAGAGCGAGGGCGAGGCCGTCGCCCGGGAGAAAGGCAGCGGGGACCCTCGGCCTGCTCCGGCGGGCGGCCGCGATCTCTCCCCGCCGGGCAGCAGGCGAGCCCGAGGCGCTTCCCGGCGCCCGACATGCAGCGATCCTCTGTTTGGGCGCCCTCCGAAGGAGGAAGAGGAGCCCGGGGACGAAGCCTTCCGCTCCCCCGCGCCCGTCCTCCCTGCCGGAGGGTAGGGGCTCTTCTTCCGCCACGCCCGACTCGGCCAGCCGGAGCGGGCGGGGCGCTCCGGGCTCGTGAACAGGTGGGGCGAGAGGGCGCTTGTGCCTCTCCCTACGGCGCTGGTCTCTCGCTCAGACTCGGAGAGGGTTGCCTTAATAACGCCTGAAGCAGCCCGGGGACCATCGCCCTAGTTAAAATAAGCTCGATGACTTCTCAGATTCCAGAAGTTTCTTGAAAGTGCTCGGGGCCTCCTTTAATAATAGCAAAGGCCACGACGTCCTGTTATCTGGGGGCAGATTATTCTTAATCCTGGTGTAGAAACTGACAAAGTGAGACCACAGTTTCCATTTTGCAGAGCTGCAGGGTCCTCCCTCCCCTTGCCAGACAGCGTGCAGAGGATGTTCAGAGATGAGGAAGAGAAGGAAAGGGTGGTGGATGACTGCAGTAAACATGGAGGCCGCCTGCGGACATTTCCTCATGAACGAGGCAACTGGGCAACCCATGTGTACATGCCATGTAAGCCTCTCTCTCTTGATGTTTTCCTCTTTGAAGAGGAATCTTTATGGTTGCCTTCAGCAGAGTGGAACACTGGGAGCACTTTCTGTGCTTCTAATCTGCCTAGAGAACACTAATGTTTCCAAATGTTTCTAAAGCAATGAAAGAACTTTGTGTTTCTAGGAAAAAAATGAAGCACTTCTGTATTTTTTTCTTGAATGTGCCCAGTTGGTGCATTACTTTTTCCTAATAAGTGCTTTGTTGATTGGAGAAATGCATTGCAAAATTTAAGAAACCCGTCATAGTCAGATCACGACCTGGTATCCTTGAGACTTTCTTATGCCATCCCTGTCTATAGGGAGACAGGACCCATTTGAGTGGTCTTCCCTGGCAACTGATGGACCCAAATGGGTTCCAGAGGGAGAAGGACTGTGCAGAAGCAAAAGCTAACATAGTTGAGCCCTCCCTTTCCCTACAGTCCATTACATTCACCAATCACTTCTGTTCATTTTGTAATGGGAACCAGCGAGCCACGCTAGTCCACCTGCTCAGTGTGTCCTTGGGTTGGGCACACTCTCACAGGAGCAAACAGTGCTCAGGTGCAATTGCCCCCACCCTGGCATTCCATTCCACCTCATCCCTTTTCTTTGTCAAGCTGCCAGCGAAGCGGAATATTGGTGAAAGTGCAAATCAGTCTTGACACTGGCATTCTTGGTCAGGGCAAAAAGCATTTAAGGCAGTGATTCTTTACTGGGCATTATTAGGGCACATCCTGTAATTGCTTGCTTGTGAACTGTTTGGGATTCCTGCTGTTGAGATGCTTGCATAAAATAATAGACTTTGGGAGGGGGAAATTGGGTTGAGTGGTAGTATTATTTGAGACCAGGAAAAGGGGTAATGAGGTCATATAGTTTAAGAGTATGTGCTCTGCTTTTTCTACAGACGAAGCTGGGGAGGACTTTCTGGATTTACTGCAGCTTCTCCTAATCTGTGGGCGCACTTACGTGCCTCTGCTGATGCGACAGGAAGAATTCCACATCAGCCTCTCTCAAAGCGTGGTGTTGCGCCACCACTGGATCAACCTTTTTGTCCAGTCCCTCAAAGAACGCTTGGCTTCCTGCCACAGGTGAGGCCCATTGACCATGCTGGTGGTGAGTTCCTATCATGATTGAAAGGGTAGGACTTACAGGCTGCTTTGGGGAGGTTACCTGGGGATTAGGTGGGCTCCTGACAAGAGCAGACGAGCAGATACGGGCAATGCAGAAACAGAGGCCCATCAGGTCTTGATAAATGCCTGTTGGGGAGGAGGAGAAAGCATACACAAAAACCTGCAGAAGGGGACGCCTGTTGTGGCTGCAAGCAGTGGCATTTTCCTTCTGCAGAGCATTCCTCAAACTCGGCAAGTTTTAAATTATGTGGACTTCAACTCACAGAATTCGCCAGCCACAAGGCCACACATCTTAATCTTGCTGAGACTGAGAAATTCTGTTCTGCGGTCACAAAAGAGTAAAACAGTGATGTTGTGAAGTGCAAGTGGGGCCAGAAAGTTCTGCTTCTTTCCTGTTTTTTGTGTTGGCCATTCTGAGGGGAAGGTTCTTGGTTTTTTTTTTTTTTAAAAAAAATTATCTATGAAGAGTTTTTTTTTATTTCTTGCCCCAAGACAGCTAATTTTCACCAGATATGATAAGAGGGCAAGAAAACCGCAGAGCTGCTTGCTGCTGTTGAGGTTGGGTCCCCTGCTCGCCCAATAACAGACGTGCTCTGCAGTTCCTGGTACTTGAGAGGCATCAGTTCTTCAGGAGTCCTTGGCTGAACTTCCCACACGTGGAAGCGGTCAGTTTTTGGGGTCAGGGACATTCCTGATAAGATGTAGGGGGGCCCTTGCAAGATGGCTGCCATGGGAGGACATGGCTAGTATGACCGAGGTGCCATTTGCCACGGAGCAGGTTGGCTGCCAAAATGCCCTTGGCTGTCCCAGGAGGGCTCTGTGGGGCCCAACGTGTTGCTGCAAATCAATACAAGGCAAGAGGCTGGTGATTTGCTTGGCAGCTTGCAAGCTTCCATTCCCATCGTTAACTGTGACCTTTGGAGATCAGAAGAGCCCCAGTTCTGTTAGCCTATTGTAAGGCCCTAGAAGCCCGTCCTTTCTGCCAGCCTGGGGCTCTGAATGTGCCGAGGGCTCCGTTTCCTGGCTGTGTTCCTAACTGGCTCTTGCTCTTGTGGATGTGGAATTAGATATTTTCAATGTTTTTCACTGGTTTTATTGTTTTAAAATGTTTTTTTCATTTTTAATTGTAATATATTTTCTGAATTGTAAGCCGTCCAGGGTGATTGACTGAGATGGGAGGCCATAGAAATTGAACAAGTAAATAAATTAGGCAAGCATCCCCAAATTTTAGCGTGCAGTAAATGAGGGAAAAGTAGCACAGGGATTAAATTAGCATAACTGAATTGGGCTTGAAGCTTGGAAGTGTCATCAGAAAGTCGCGGAGAAGCAGAGAAATAGCCGTGACCTGCAGTCCTCTTGGGTGTTTCTGCCTTTCATTTCCATATTAGTTGGAATCTCTGCTGTGTTTCAGGTTCACCTTCAGAGCTGATCAAGTGAAGGTGTACACCAATGAGACCAAAACAAGGTGGGTGAACAATTGTCGATCTCCCCCCTCAGAGAGATGTAGAGAGTCCTGTGGGCTAGGACTAAAACGAGCCAGCCATCAGTGTGGAATGATTGCTGCAGTTGCATTAGCAAAATATTTCTGGAGGTGAAAAAGAGGAAGACCAGACAGAGGGAGGTGAGAGAAGGCAGGCAGGTATGGTCTCAGCAACTCCATTGTGGCCTTTCCAGCTCCAGGAGAGTCCCTGTTCAGGGGGTTTGCCTGCCCCTGTTACCATTCCAAATTTGACGGTACCTGAATGGATGTGCCCCTATCCTGAAGAGGACGGGCATTGGCTCCCATGGCACAACGGCTGCGGTGGCTGGCAGAGGGAAGGCAGCTCTCTTGGAAATGTTCTGCATGAATCGGCTCCCCCTTCAGCAGATGGGGGTGGAAGTGTCTTTTCATCCTAACAGGGACAACTCCCCCTGTGGTTCCAGGCACAGCAGATCCCATCAGCCCCACCATTTTGCCAGCACTTCCCCTTCTTTCCTTTCAGCCCCCGCCAAGGTCCAGGGCATCCCTGCTCAGCAGATTTTCTCCATTAAATCGTCCTCAGCCAATGCAGGTGGTGCTTCTGTAATACAGTCGTCTTCTTGACATACTTGAACAGTGGATCCTATCCAACATGTGCTCTTCTCTTGCGTTTGGGAATCGAGTAGCCATCCGTGCAAGATGTTGACCATGGAAGAGCTGCTGCAAGTTACTCTCTAAAAATCTTCTTGCAGGACCTTTATTGGCTTAGAAGTCTCTTCAGGACATTCTCAAATGTTGGAGTTGGTTTCAGAAGTGGATGAAGTTATGGAGGAATTTAACCTAATGCCTTTTTACAAGGTGAGGCTTGCAGCTGTCTCAGGGGAAATAGGAAGTTACTGCTTTAGAATGAGTCTCTAGAGGAAGCTGAACAGTAACTCTTGAATAATCAATTAAGCAGCTGTTTAAATGCACTTTCAACAGCTTCATCTTCCTGTTCCCCCCCCCCCACTGTGCTTAGGGTAGAATCAGAATACTGATTCAGTTACCAATATTTGATCTTTTTACCTCTGCTCTTTTATGAACTCTGAACCATATTGCAATGCAGAATATAAGATATGGCTCCAATTTACTCTAATTTAAATGTTGCCTGGGATTCTGGGTCTCTGCCTGCTGCGCTTGGCTATGCTGGTGGACCTTCCTCTGATCTTGACCACTGGTGGTTGTTCATAGGATCCCTCGTTCCACATGAGCCTTGCCTGGTGTGTGGGGAATATGTCGGAAGCCCTCAGAGGCCAGTGTATTCAGGAAATGCAGGTAACCAGCCTGGAAGCCTTTAGCTGTTGGGAGACACCCTGCCAGGCAAGGAGGAGGGATCAAGTGGGGAACTACTATTGAATGATTGCACAGCCACAAGAGACCTCGGCCTAACCCCCCCAAAGTTCCTTGGGGTCTTATCTGTTAGTTCCCAAGATACGGCAAGCAGTATAGGGAGATTCTTGTATTATAGGCAGAATACAACAAAGTAGTCAGCTTGAACCCTACATTTGCAGCCCTGGTTGTATGTGCCTGACATTAGCAGGGAGCTACACGAGACAGTTGGGTCTCTATACAGGTCATTCTGTGTCCCAGTTTTGAAATGGACTTAGTTCAAACTTCAGACATGTTCAAGATGGATCCATGTTAGACTCAGATCCCTACCAGTCAGGTTAGAAGATCCTGTTTGTTCACCTATGGTGAAGCCTGGAGTGAGTATGCAGGTATGCCAAAGTCACACAGCCTTTCCCCTCTAGAGGGAGTTTCCAAGAGACTGGCCCTTGCAATTGTTTTAGTGATGGAAGACAGAGCAAGGGATTCGGATGGAGGCTCATGTGAGGAGAGCTCCCGAAGTTGGCAGGGATCCAGCTGTGAAGGCTTTAAGCAACTTGAAATGAGGTTGGGGCCAGTAGATAGCCAAAGAACTGAGCAAAGCTGGAGGCAAAAGGTTGAGCTGATAAATTCTGCCAGGCTGTTCTTACTTTGCCTTCCTATTGTTGCAGGAGATTGTGGATGGCTTTGAGGACTCTACCTACTTGCTGCGAATTCCTGGGACTGAAGTCCGTTGCAAATCTGGCAATAAGGTTTTCTCGTTCCCTCTGCAATAGAGAAGTCCAGGAACAAGATCAGCCGACTTGCGATAGGCACTTTCAGCCCTTTTCCAAAGATGGGCTGAGGTGCCACCGGATTCCCACAAAGTCCCTTTGGAGTCAACTGCACTCGGCAGCAGCGGACCTTCCAAGAGCCCATTTCAAAGCCAAGACAGTTAATGCCCTCAGACCTCTGCCAGGCCAGGCCCTACTTCACTCCAGTTCTCAGCTGCAAACAAAAGTATGGCTTTCTGAGAGTGAGAGGGAGCCAGTGGGATGTTTCTCCGAGGACTTTGTCTTGTAGAAGGCTGATCCAGGGGTGGTGAGAGGCCCTAGGGGGATGTCTCAGGCATGGGGTCTGGTCTTTCTCAGAGTGAGCCACAGTTGAAATGGAGAAAAGGAGAGCCAATTTTCTTCATTGTCGGTTTCAGGCGCTTTGCTGAAGGGGTTCGCCAAAGCTTCCTGGATAAATGATTGTTCAGAACCTGCTTTGATTGTTCTGTTTGAATTGTGGGGGAAAAAAAATCATAAACAGGCACAAAATAAGAAACATGTACGCAGCATTGGAGTTAGATTAGCTCTCCTATCCACATACTGACAAAGTACTTAATTCCTCTAGGTCAAAATCCAAACTAAAGGCCCCCCAACCTTTCATTTGTCCATCAAAAGCACAGTAATGGCCTTGAACAGCATTCAGATGTGCCCAATTCACAAGAGTTGGAGAAGGTAAACTCCATTTGATCTATGCTTGTTTCCCTGCATTCTTGAGAGGAACTGGGCAGTGTGGAAAAAGTCTAACCTTGTTCCCCCAAAGAGCATAAGCTAGGTAATTTTGAGATTTGTTTCTCACATCTTCATGATCCAAGATAGAAACTTCTGAATGCAATAAATCAAAATGCTGGTTGAGAAATTTGGTGGGGGCAGATTACAGAATTGAAATGTTACAAGCATTTGGCTTAGTCAATTTCTATTGGCCCTCCCTAATTGGGATCTCAGTGCTGACTTTAGCTCCTGTGATCCCCCAACACTAGCCTTGCCTTTTGAGGATACGGGAATTACTGCCAATGTCCTGGTGGTGGGCTTCAGGTCTCTTCTGTTAAATGTCACGGTACTAAGGAAGTGTGCCTTTCTGCTCACCCCATCCCCTGGGACCACCCTCCCCTGGGGTTCCCAGATGCCCTCTAGAGCTGATGTGGGTCTTGGCCTGGGGCTGATGTGTTGGTAAGACCCTCGATGGGTTTATTATTTGATTGTCTTAGTCGGGACTGCCTGGGGGTTGTTATGTTTATAACTATTGTTTTGTGTTTATAAGCTGCCTATATTCTGTGAGAGCGGGCAGCTGTAATAAATGTAATATATTTTGTTATAGTAAGTATACTAAGCCAGAACGAAATGTGAATGTTAAGCCAGAATTTCTCCAATGCCTAATACATTATGTCTCTTGCAACTAACGAGTAAAGACCAGATTGATTGTCTGTCTGTCTGTCTCTATCAATCATGTGGAACATTCACATCACATTTTAATAAAAATACAAGAGGAATACAAAATATAAAACATGTCTGGATTGCAGATATAATTTTTTGCTTCTTATAGGCTCTATTTTGGTACTCTGTCACTATATGTTGGATATTTGTTTTTTGGCCCCGCAGTCACAATTTGATACTGGTATTTGCAGATTATCCATGGCCAGTGCAAATTCAGTTCAGTGTTGTCCATATCGTGCAGGCTGGTCAAATCCTGGTGGCTTGTCCAAGATGCAAAGCAAACTTGGTATCAAATGCTTAAACACAGATGTGTTTTACGCTTAGAAGGGTTGCACGTTAGCTCTTGTGCTATCTGTGGTGCTCAACTGTATTGTGAAGTTTTTGCATTGACACTGACAGGACTTAACTAGAGCCTCTTTAAAGTGCATCTCATCCCTGTATTTGTCCTGTGAAATTCACCTCCAGTTTCCTAGAAATTTAATTTGCAATTGTAGTTGACAAAGAGCTGCAACCCTTCAGCGGGGGTCCTGTTGGGCTGCGGCCCCGGTGGGGCAAAAGGGATCTGGGTCCCCCGAAGCGCCCGTCGACAGGTTCCGCCTGCAGGGCGCCTCCAGGCGGCCGGCACTTCACCCCCGGTCCTCGAGGGGCTTTCCCCGGCCAGCCCGCTGAGAGACACCGGCGGGTCCTCCCGAGCGGCTCAACCCAGCCCCGGGTGAATCCGGTCCGTGCTGCGAGTGGCCGCCGCGTCGGCCGGCTGGGAGCCCCGCTGCGGCCCCGCTGGCCGTTAGGCGGCAGCCCTGGCCGCCCCCGCCGGAAGCCCGGCCAGGGGCGCAGCGGGCGGCGCTTGGCGGCGGCGCAGGGGACGGCCGGGCGGAGCGGCCAGGGGACGGCGGCGGGGACGGCCGCGCGAGCGAGCGGGGCGAGCACCAGCATGGGCGGCGGGGCTCGGTTGCTGCCGCTGCTGCTGCTGCCGCTGCTGCTCCCGCGGGGCTCGGCGGGGCCGGTGCTGAGCGAGGCGGACGCCGAGGTGGGTGCGGGCCGGCGCCTCCCGCGGTGGCGGGCGTGCCGGGGCGGCGAGGGATGGGGTGGGCGCCGACTCGGCTGCGGTTCGAGCGGCTTTCCTGCCCGCCGCACCTGCCGCGGCCGGCCCCGGGCGCAACTCTCGCTGCCTTGCAGGCCTGGCTGCGCTCCTACGGCTACCTGCCCGCGCCCCGCCAGCAGCCCTCCAGCCTGCGCGCGGCCCGGAGCCTGGCGGCCGCCCTGGCAGAAATGCAGGCCTTCTACGGCATCCCGGTGACCGGCGTGCTGGACCAGGAGACGCGCGCGTGAGTGCCGGTCCGCGCCGCCTTCGCTGGGGGGGGGGTCCTCGGTCCCGCCTGCCGAGCCAGCCGGCCGGGGCTTCGGAAGCGCTCCCGAGTCGGCGCCCGGCGGGGGGCTTCGCTCCCTGGGATGGAGCGGCCGGGGGCCCGAAGCCCCCCACCCACCCCGCGGGCAGCCCTCGGAAGCACCCGAGGCCCCTCGGCGGCTCGAAGTCGGGGCTCGGCCCGGGGAGAGGGCTGCGCTCTCGCGCCTTCCCGTCGGAGCGCCCCTTTAAGGTGGCCGAAAAGCAAAGGGAGGCCCGGGGACGGGAGCCTCGCCCCGATTGCGCGGGGTCCCAGAGGGGGAAGAGGCCGCGGGCAGGGCGGCTTCTGGGCTCGCGGAGTCTGTGCAGCCCCCGAAGAGCCCGAGGGCCGTTGCCCCCGTTGTTCTCCTGTTGTTTTCTAAAAATGTCAGCAGGCTGCAAGTCCAGCGAGGAAAACCTTTTGATTTCGCTGCTTGTCTTCCCCGATTGTTGTAACTCGCAGGTGGATGAAGCGTCCCCGGTGTGGAGTCCCTGACAAAATTGGGGCTCAGGTCAAAGCTAACATGAGGCGGAAGCGATATGCACTGACTGGTCGAAGGTGGAGCCAGATGCACCTGACCTTCAGGTACGTATGTCCGGCTGTTGAGGCCTGAAGTGGAGCTACTGGGAGGCAGCCCAGTTGCAACTCTTTAAAATGCTGAGTGAAAAGAGGTTCACATACATTGGCTAGATGCCGGGATCTGATGGCTGCAACACTCGGATGCCGAAGAGGGTTACAAAGGTGGACGGGAAGGGCTGGAGACAGGGATGAGGTTCACGGAGAGGAGTCCAACACTCCGCTCAGAAGGCCAATTCCTTGTTGGGGAGATTGAAATTTTCCAAGACCAGCAGGGACATTTCTTTGCTTCCAGGAGAACGAAGTAACCTCTTTGGAGATTAGGAATCCTACATTAGTCTGCAGATTTATTCTTGCATTTTGAATTTGAATTGTCCGAGTTGCACCTGAATTATGTTGTCAAAGGCGCTCTGATTGTACAGATGCTTGGAATAGCAACGGTGTCTGGAATCCCTGGAAGAAGCATTCTTCCTATAGGTTCTCTTAAGACTCTAAAGTCTGAGCAGTTTTCTGTGGCCTTCGTGGGAAATGGCCCACCTCATCAGATGCCCCACACCCTGGTCAGAGAGGTGGCCGCTGTGATGTATTAAACCTGTACGGAACTGAGGTTCAGTGGCGGAAAAACCAAGCGACAAAGGTGAGGCCTGTGGGAAAAAGTGGCGGTGACGCGTCCTCGTAGCAAGACAGGCATTTCAAGGCACTCTCCGCTCTCTGCCTTCTCTGGAGCTCAGCACTGTCCTCGGCTGCTCTTCTGCCACAGGACCACCCTTCAACTTTGCTGGAAGCTGCTGTTGACCTCTGCAACTCAGCCTGCTGTTCTCTTGCTCTCCCTTTCGGAAGGCTTGGGGGGAAGGGGAACCTTGCAGACCAGCTGTTGAAGCATGGGGAGCTGAGAGACAAAGGGGCTTTACAGGAGGGGGGCTCCCTGGAGGACTTTCTAACCAGAGGCAGTAAGATTTCTCTGTGTTTCCCACCCCCTCCTTCTTTTTTTGGAAGCATCCAGAACTATACAGAGAAACTGGGGTTCTTCCATTCATACGATGCCATTCGCCAGGCTATCCGTGTCTGGGACCAAGCGACCCCACTGGTCTTCCAGGAGATCCCCTACAATGAAATCAGAGAGAAGAGGAGAGCAGAGGCAGACATCATGGTGCTCTTTGCCTCGGGGTTCCATGGGGACAGTTCCCCCTTTGACGGCACCGGGGGCTTCCTGGCACATGCCTATTTCCCAGGTCCTGGAATGGGAGGAGACGCTCATTTTGACTTGGATGAGCCCTGGACGCTGGACAAAAGGGACGTGCTGGGTAAGGAAGCTGTCCTGGGTGGGAGAAGGCTAGAGGTAAGAGAGAGAGGCCCTGCAGGACAGGTGGAGCCACCACTAATGCAACAGGGATAAGTGGGGGTTGAGCCCATTCCAGGTTGCTAGTCAAACAACCCTCTCCCTATTTTCCATGAAGATAAAGTGAGGGAGGGGAGAAGCCAGCTGCTGGCCCATGTGTTTCTTAACGCAGAATCTTTGTTTGCCCTGGATGTTCTTCCTTCCAGTGCAAAGGTCCTCCTTTGGCTTTCCTGCCCTGTAACTGGGCAAGCGTAGATCAGTGGGATGCAGAATTTGCAGGCCTTCAGACCCCACAGATCTTGTCATTATCTACAGGAAACAATCTCTTCCTGGTGGCCATCCATGAGCTCGGCCATTCATTAGGCCTGGAGCACTCTAGCAACCCAAGTGCCATCATGGCTCCCTTCTACCAGTGGATGGACACAGACCACTTCAGGTTGCCAGAAGACGACCTTCGGGGCATCCAGCAGCTGTATGGTAAGTAGCAAGCGAGTGTAGCGCTGGGTGCACCTGTGTAGGGTTCAGGTTAAAAAAAAAAGAGGGATGCAGGATAAATGTTCCAAGCTGCATGGCAGGTATCTAAAGATGCTGCCTGCCAGGGATGATGTTTCCTTCTTCATCTCTTGATTGGCAGTGACCAAGTAGAGATGATGATTTTTGCAACCATCTTCATGATATTTACCATTCTGTCTTGAGAACTGCCTGGCATCTGGCGGAGGCTGGAAAACGTTCTTGTCTGGTGAGGGATAAAAATGTGTACAAGGCAACTGCCAAACTCAAAGAGCACCAAGGACTCCACAACTCAACCCTGATCTACAGAGATTCTCTTCTGTTGGAGGGTGAAAATATTTGCTTTTGGTGCTGGATAGGTGCTCCATCTGAGATTTGGCCTATTTGAAAACAGCCTCAGGCATCCCATGACAACCACTGGTTTGTTCTTTTGGCAGCTCTCCCCTCTGAGCGTAACTTGGGTACTTTGCTGCTGGAAGGAGGATGAGTTGGTTGTAAACAAATGTTTATTTCTCTCCTGGCACTCCTTCTGAGCCTCCAGAACGCCCCAAGTAGCAGGGCTCAAGTACCCGTTTCAGCCTTGGAAAACGGTTTTTCAAAAACATACACATCCTGTTTTTTTCTATCATGAGCAATTTCAAAGGAAATTTTGCAAGCTTGGCCTAGGCATTGTGGCCTTTGGAGGGCAAAGTTTGTTATGTTGCATTTTTTATTAAGCATTTCTAAAAAAAGGAGAAAGGAAGGAAAAAAGGAAACATAGTAGATAAACATATGCACATATGTTTCATTTGCAGTACACCATAGAAATAGATTAAAAATCTCAATATTTCATTAATTATTAGTGTAATTAAGTGTAAATCATTTTAAAAACTACCAGTCCTTGTTAACCTCAATAGCCATTCTCAGCGTAGTATAAACCATAAAGAGGCCAACATTTCAAAGAAAGTGAGCTCCTGCCCAGAGGAGGCTCCCTCCACCCCAGGTGACCTCTGTGCTGGACTTTTCCTTTCCCCTCAGGGACGCCAGGAGAGCAGCCCACCAAGTCCCTGCCTACTGTGGTACCCCGGAAGCCAGACCAGAAGCCCCCAGACAAGCCAAACCGCCCTCCCCAGGCCGGCCCCCCTGACGCTCTGGAGCCCAACATCTGCGATGGCAACTTTGATACCGTGACCGTTCTGCGTGGAGAGATGTTTGTCTTCAAGGTGCTTCTTTTTGCTTTGCTTCTCATGAAGGTTTCAGGGTGGTGACTTCTGTGCTGGGGAATCCTGGCAGTTCTGCCAACTGGGCAGTTTGTCCTGAAGTGCAGGTGGCTGGTTCTGGAGGGCTGGTCTAGGCTTCAGGGAAAAAGAGTGCCCCGCTTGGCACTGCAGGACCAAGTTCTGAAACGGGCCCTTTCTCAAGAGCACAAACACGCTTGCTTTGGCATCCTGTACTGTGGGTGCAGGACCTGATATTTGCTCGCCTGGTTTCCGGCCCCAAATGACGCCATCTCAGATGCCAGCTGGTCCGTCCCTTTGTCCCTCACAATCGCCAGCTTTCTTGGACACCTGCAAGTAGAAGACGTAATCCCCTCCCATCTCTTCCAGTGGGCATTCACCCAGCAGTGATGTTGAGGTTCAAGTCCATCAATTCTTGACCAATCAAGAACTTGGCCAGCTTTTTTTTTTTTTTTTAAAGGCTGATCAAGTCTGTGGCCATCATCACATCTGCTAGTGATGAATTCTCCTGAATGGCTTCAGTTGAAAAATTTGAAATTGCTGTGATAAAGACAGGCTCCCTGGAGGGCCCTTCTTGTACCTGCAGAAAGGCCCCGATCCAGGGCACATCCTTCTGAGAGCCACCTGTCAGGGGGACCCCTGCACCACGTGTCTCTTAGGGGACTCACCATAGCTCTGCCTCCCCCTTACTTTTTTTTCCCCTCTGGCAAAAATGTTGGAAAGGGTTTCTGCCAAAATAGGAAAACAAATTGCACATCTGGAATTTTGGTGGCCCTTTTGCAGAGTGCAGGTTTTCTGCTTTGCGTTTTCAATGATCGCAGAGTCTTCAGCCTTTGTCTGCTCACCAGGAGGGGGGTGGATGGAACTGCTTCCTTTTCCGGAGGAGGGCGGCTCTGTTTGGATTGCACTGAGGGAGGGGGAAAGTGTCCCCCTTGCACGCCACTGGAGGGTCTGGTGTTTGGACTTAACAGGAGGGAGAAAGAAGGATGGGCTTTGCTGCTTTCGGGGTTACATTGTCATTTGTTTTTTATTTTAATAATTCTTACCTCTTAATGCCATTTCAAGACCTCTTATTCCTCTGAAGAGCAGCAGCACAACAGCTGCACAACCATCCTCCTGGGGGGTTGCTTGCTTCCTTTCAGGGCCGCTGGTTCTGGAGGGTCCGACACAACCGGGTGCTGGACAACTACCCCATGCCCATTGGGTACTTTTGGAGGGGGCTTCCTGGGAACATTGACGCTGCCTACGAGAGGCAAGACGGGCGATTTGCCTTCTTTAAAGGTGAGGGGCTGCACCCATGAGCCGGAGGAGAAAGCAAAGCTTTGGCTGGCCTGGTCTTTCAGAAACGTCTTCTCCTGATTCCAGCTCCAGAGCCTGTCTGGGCGGCTGCTCAGACGGCCCCTCTGTGGCCAGGTAGGCCAAGGGGCCCATCGTGTTCATGGGCACTAGACAGGCAGTCTTCAGGGGCACAAGCTGGAGGTGGCTTTGGCCATCTCTTCAGTTGTGGCCCTTCTTGCTGTCCAACCATCCCCCATGACAAGTTATTTTGGAGGAGGCAAAGCTCGCAGGCTCACACCTGGTCCAGATGGTGGTGGGGATGTCCAGGTGGTGGTGCTTGAGAGCTAGCAGGCCAAGGAGAACCTGGGAACTTTCCCCAGTCCTAGCCCCCAGGACAGAAAGGCAGCTGAAATGAACGTGAAATCTTCATACAAGGCAATAGGTTCCCTTCGCTAACTATTGCTGAGACTTGGTGGATGAACACTTATTCTTAAAATAAAGCACTTATAGGATAGAGCTGATTCTAAAAGAAGAGACACCATAGAAAAAAGGAGAAAGAGGAAGGTAAGTCAACAGTGTCTTTATCAGCACAAAAGACTCAGGTTTGGGGTGAGGATAGATGAGAGAAACAGAAACTGCAGTTACAGGATTCTCTGCTAGCTTTAAATGTGGTTGACAGGAGGAACTCGAGATGGTGGGATATCGGGGCAAAGCAAGTGTGGCATCTGGGGACTATACTAGAAGATCCTTAAGGAACTTCCAAGGCTATGATTTTTACGACAGCTTAGTGAAACAAAGCCTTATATATTTCATCCTTCTCTCAGAAATTTGATTCCAGTAAATCAGAGAAAAGAACATTGGAATTTTTGATGTGAAATGGATTGCCACACAGTAAAGGGTCCGGGGTTGTAGCCAGCAGCACAAAGGCTGAGGCTGGCTGGGCCTGGATCAGCCAAGCCGAACCTCCCCGCCCTGGGAGGGCTCAGATCCCCTCCTAGCTTGGTTGCACCTGGGCCCTTTTTCGGAGGCCCCGCTTGAAGAAGGCATGGGCAGCCCCGAGGGCGTCATCGGGAACCACCATCCAGAAGAGAAGGTTTTGAAGGAGAAACAGCAGCAGCCCTCGGGGGAGCAGGGGGGCCCCAATCCTCCAGAGGACAAGAAGGCTGGGCTCTCCCGGGAGCCCCTCGGGGTATCAAATGGCTGCTGCAGTCTCCCCCACAAAGGCCTCCCCGGTGCACAATTCCTGACACGGGTGGAGCCGTTGCCCCCTCTTGGGCTGGCCTGATTCTCTGCCTGTCCTCTCCTCAGGCGGTCAGTACTGGCTCTTCCGAGAGGCAAACCTGGAGCCCGGCTACCCACAGCCCCTGAGCAGCTATGGGCTGGGCCTGCCTCAGGACAGAGTGGATGCGGCCGTGTGGTGGGAGCCCACAGGGCACACCTTCTTCTTCCGAGGAGACAGGTGAGTCACGGGTGGCACATCGCCCCCCCCTCTTCCTCAGACGGGCTTCCCTTCATGGTTTGCCCTTTCCCTGCAGGTACTGGCGCTTTAATGAGGATGGGAGCTCCGTGGGGCATGGCTACCCAAGGAAGGTCAGCGTCTGGGCGGGGGTTCCTGCTGCCCCCAGGGGTGCTTTCCTCAGCCCCGATGCTGGTAAGTAGGGCAGGCGGGCCCGGGAAATGACAGTCCGGGGAGGGGATGACTGCAGATGGGAAGGTCACCTGGGGGGTGGGGGGCAAACAGCTTGTCCGGAGTGGGGGGCTGGCCAAGGGAGAAACTCCTGAGGGAGAATGGACAAATGAAGCCGTCCCAAAGAATTTGAGGTAAGCGACGTAACAATTTGTTCTTGGAAAAAAATGAGTTGTAGGAAACAATTGACCAATTTGCTTACTGCCTGCCCTACATAAATTAGGTGTAGTTTCATTAAAATTATCATCCATTTGGGCGGGTTTCAGCCACCTGGCCTCCTTCAGATGTTCTGGGCTGCAGTTCCAGGGTCTGTGAGTGAATTGCAGTCATGTCCAAGTCCAGCATCCTTAGGTAATCCAGTTTAATAGCAGTCGGGTCTCACTTGTTGGTCCTTCTCCCTTGGCTGGACTGTGGTGAACACAGCCACTAAGGCCCTCAGACCTGGCACTGTTGCTTGCCTCCTGTCTCGCCCTTCTGCTCCTCTTCCTGCCGCCCTTCTTTTTCAAGGGGCAGAAATGATGCTGGGGCACTGGTGGAACGGCCCTTCCGGAAGTCAGGATGGTGTGGATCTAAATAGCCATGCTTTGCGAAATACAGACAGTCCAGGGCATTCTTTGTGCAGAGCTGTGCTCACCAAAGGTGCTCAGTGGAGATGCCACAGCAAAGGGCCCCAGGAGCCTTACAGATGTAGTGGGGGATGAGGGGCTTGGGGGGCTTCCTGACACATTGCTCTCCTGCTGTCTTCCAGCCTACACATATTTCTTTAAGGGCAGGCTGTACTGGAAATTCAACAATGAGCGGCTGAAAACAGAGCCCGGCTACCCCAAGTCCATTCTGCGAGACTTCATGGGCTGTCAGGAGGAGGCGGCTGTGGATCCGGACCCTGGCCGTCGCTGGCCTGACACGGGAAGGCCCCCCTTCCAGCCCCGGCAGGACAAGGAAGTGGAGGAGGGCACTGCAGCCCCCCGCCCAGGTCTGGAAGAGGAGGAAGAAGAGGAATCTGTCTTGGAGAAGGAGGGTGGGGGGCCGGTTGAGGAGGGAGGTGGGGACGTGGACATTGTGGTGCACATCAACGATTACCCACTGACAGTGAGCATCGTCATGGCGGTGTTGCTGCTGCTGCTGCTGCTGTGCGTCCTGGGCCTGGTCTACATCATTGTGCGGTTGCAGCGGAAGGGCCGGCCCCACATGCTGCTCTACTGCAAGCGGTCCCTGCAGGAGTGGGTCTGAAGCTGGGGGGCTGCTGTGGGGCAGAGCCAGAGAAAAGGCTCCTCTTCTTCTGCGTCTGGCTGGAGGACACCCTGGGCCCCTGCAGGGAAGGTGCAGGGGCCCAAATGTGAGGCTGCAGCCCAGGGCCAAGGCTGGAAGCTGTCACTGCTGGCTGGAGGGATTGTCGGCCTGGTCAAGCGAGGAGAAGAGAGGCGGCTCTTGCTGTAAGATCATCCCTCCATGGGGATCCAGGTGCAGGCTTCACTGTTTGGGAGCTGTGGGTCCTCTTCTGCATGTGTTCCAGAGACAGGTATTTGGACCTGCTGGCTGGGCCTTGGAGGCAGGGAGACCCCCTCATGCCAGTTGCAGCAGCTGGCTTGGCCAGCAGTGGGCATCCTTAGTGGCCAGTTGGCCAAAGGTTGAGGGGCTGACATCCTGAAAACCTTGATCTATTTTTGTACATTCTTTTTTCCAGAGCTTCTTTGGTTACAAAGCTAAATGTGGAGTATCTCTACTGTATAAATATTTCTACTCCTACATACTTATTTCTGCTTGAACCCTCTGGAGACAAAACTCAGGTTGAACAGATGCTTCAGCCAAGGTCTGGTTGGGTGACCACTCAGCTCTATGCTCCCCCCCCCCGCCTTTCTGCTTCTTGGCTCTCTGAGGCTCTCCTTGATAGGCACCCAGGCCAGGCCCACTGCTGCCTTCTTACCTCTGACTTGTACTCTTGGGAGGCATTAGGTGTAGCTCTCCACAGGGAGGGCCTTTGGGGTTCTCTCTGGCACAGCCATCCAGCAAGCCAGGAACAGGCTGGTGAGAGAAAAATGATCCTTTTCCTGGATTTGTTACCCATCAATCCACGTTCAGAGACTTGAATGGCCAACAAATCCACTTGAAGCAATGAAACTTTGTCCACCTCTCTTTGGGGGAGGGGAAAAGGTCCCTGGGCAGAGGCAGATGGATGAAACCACCTGCCCAGCAGGTTCCACATGGGGGGACCCCCAACGTGCTTCCTGCCAAAGACTCCTTGGAGAATGGCTAACTCCTACAGCCCCTCCCTCCCTTTCCTGGGGGCTACCAGTCGATCTGCTGCGGTTGGTATTTGGCACATCAGGGAAGGCAGCCGGGTTGAGGAAAAGCATTTCCTGCACACCGGCTCTGGCAGCTTGTCTGCTGATTGGGGAGGCTGGAAGAACTGATCCATGTAACACGCATAAACACGCAAATGGTCATTGTTCACAGGCTGTCAATAAAAGTCATTTGTGCTGACACTTTGACCTGCTTTTTCTTCCATGTACGCTGAACCTGGCTGCGTTTCCCAAGAGGAGGCTCCTTGTCAGAATGGTGGGCAGACCTGAGCTGGGGACCAGGCCAGCCTTCCCTTTGGGGTCCTCGGAGGCCTTTTGAGCCAGCCTGGGCACGAAGGGGCTGGTGGGGAGAGCTTAGGCCAGCTAGTGGACAGGGCAGCCTGGCAGTCCCTTCATGGTCTGCCTGGAGGGTTGGGGCAGGCCACTCCACTCCACAGGTTGATGACGATGCTTAACTTCGTTACTGAATTCAATCCTATTTTGTAAAACTAAGCAAAGGCTTTGACTCGTACAGCAGGCCAAGCTGAACAGATGCACAAATGCAGCTCTTAAGGTTTTAATCAATTTGGCAAAGAGGGTGGTGCCCACGTGGCTCCCAATTTGGATTCCAACATGGAGACCAGCAGTTTGGGCCCTAACTTGTTCTTGCTCTTTGATCACTTGGAGGTAGCAAGGTATTTTTGCAATTTGCACAGGACTGGAAGGCCTCCTGGAGCGATTCTTCTCTAGAAAGGAACCGGAGCCCAAGCTGATCACAGCTGTGTCCCTGGAGGAAGGAGGGAAGGCCACTGAGGGCCCAGCTCCAGGCTGCTCTGCCCAGACCCCTCTCGAGTCCAGTTTTGGTTGCCACAGTAGGAGGAGGATTCTGAGGGAATGGAAAGGGCCGAGAAGAGCAGCCAAGAGAGTTACAGGATATCTCTTTCATGTGAGGGGAGAGAGAGAGAAGAGATGGTTCGAGTGGGCCTCTAAAGGCAGACATCAAGCATCTGAGAGGCACAGAAGAGGGAGAGAACTTATCCTCTGCTACTCCAGGATTGGACTTAAACCCACAAGGAAGCCAATTCTTGCCGTTTGTTGTTTCGTTATGAGACCTCTTTAGTCCCTTCCAACTCTATGATATTGTGGTTCCTCAAACATTTATAGTGTGAGAAGACAATTAGGCAAACGCAACTTTCTACATCTGCCTAGAAATCCCGCACCTTGGGACTCCAGTTGCAGAAGCTCAAATGCCATTGCCCGTGCCAATCCCCAAAGCAAAGGAAAGTCCTTGTGATGAGAAACTGTGGAGGAAGGAATTTTGCCCAGTTCTTGCATCTGAAACTAGCCCACAAGCATAAGACAAAGAAGGTTTTTCTTTGCTGAAAGAAAAGGAGGAGAGCAGGGCTGAAACAGACCCAGGCTCTGCTGAAGTCCACACTGAAGGGCTTTGTCTTCAACTTTTAGCTGATAGTTGGACATTCCAGCAATGTCTTTTATTTGCCATCTGCATCCTGTTCACATCGTAAGAAAGAAATCTGAATTGTACAAGAACAAATCCATCCAGCTGCTCATGTATTTAATAAAAAAGGCCAGCCAGGCCATGTCCATCTGCAAACAAATGCTGGACTGTCCTTTCCAGCTGAAGGGCAGGATAGTCCGTATGGAAGTGGAAATTTCCACAGCAAAATTCCTGGCAGATTGAGTATGAACATTATTATGGTGTTATAAATACACTTAATATCTGGAAGAATGGAGGTGAAAAAGAGACCATGAGAAGGTGGAGAACTTATCAGAATTCCGAGGCAAGAACATTAACAAAAGTTCTTAGGATGACTGCTAAACACAACAGTCACAAAAGCCAGCAAATGCTGGCCCCACCAGGAATACGTAAAGCCTTTTTGCACATTAAATCTGGGGCAAAAACACCCTCATCATGGAGTTTTAAATGCAACAAAACAATGTTATTTTTTAAAAAATTAGCCTTTATACTTCCTGCTTTTGCATACTTCCAACCAGAAGACAAAATGGACCAAGCTAGAATTTGGCAAGAGGATTTCCATGAAGCCTGGGTCTACTGAAGACCTACCATTACTGGTGCTGAGGAAAGCAATTCAGCCTTCTTCTTAGATGGTGCTGATCCTGTGTCAGTTCAGATGGAGAAAAGCGGACAGGAAGCTTGACTCTTGACTCACAACCCTTCAAAGTTACAACTTTAGGGACCATTCAAAGTTACCATGTTACTAACTTAACAACTACAGTGATTCATTTAACAACTGTGACAGAAAAGGTTGAAAATTGGTGCAAAACCCACTTAACAATGGTCTCGCTCGGCAATGGAAATTTTGGGCAAAGTGGATTGATGCCCATCTTAGCAGTCAACCTAGGCTGACAGTCAAACAGTGTCCCAAATCATGGCGCTATGGCTGAAGGGCAGGTGGTTGTTGCTGCCTTTATTACGCGCTAATGGGGTGATCCCAAAGCAAAGGACACCTGGTCCTTGGACAGATCCACTCTGGGGACCAAACAGAGGAAAAGATTCAGCCCAGATGACTAGCTGAAATTCTTCTCCCAGGTTCAGATGCCCAGCCGGCTCAGAGAACGGCCACCTTGGACCGGCCAGTGGATGGATGGAAACGGGGGGGGGGGGAGGAGCTGGCAAGGCGGGGGGGGGGGAGGGAAACTACAGCACAACTTTTGTCTGCTGGAACAAGCTGAGAGGCCCCGGGGCCACATCCAGCTCAGCTAGAAAAAGCCCGAGATGAAATTGCCCAGTTGAAAGAGGAAAAGCATGTTTTAACTCATGAAACCAAAGCTATTCCCAGACTGAAGAAATTAATTCAGGGGTTATCTTCAAGGGCTAATTAAGCTGGTTAAAAATACTTGTGCTTGTGACAAAATTATTTCCAATTTGAAACAAAAACTATAAAACAAGATTTTTCACACAGTTCAATTAACTTAAGACCAAAGAGGATTCTGGACCAACAGATGTTCGGGGCTCGGACTGACCACCCTACAGCTGTGCCAGGTAGAAGACTTGGCGGGAGGGTGCAGCTGGATGACGAGAGAAGTGGATCAGTGCGCATCAGCCCGAAGTAGACCAGACCAGGGAATCAATTCCAGAGATTGCTGGAATTGGCAAGTGACAGACTCTTGCAATTGTTCTGGACTTCCTCCCATTGTCAACATCTGCACCAAAGAGCTCTGCCCAGCCGGACGGCCTCATTCCCTCAGCCGTAAGGCACTGTGAGCCCAGTGCAGGGTGTGGAGGTTCAGGTGTGGCCTGGCCAAAGAGATGCCTCTGCCTTACCAACAGCTTCCTGCAGTCTCTTGCAAAGATCTGTGGCTTTGCTATTCTCCGTGTTAAGAGCCACCCATCAGCTCTGATGCTGCCAGCACCCCTTACCTCATCATGGTAAAGCTCTAGCAGAATTTAGCCTTCGGTTTGCGTGTTGTGGGCTCAGCTATTCTGCTTTGTAGTCATAGACAATAAGTTATAGAACTGGAAGGGACCTTCCAGGTCTTCTAGTCCGGCCCCCTGCTCAAGCAGGAGCCCCTATACCATTCCAGACAAGTGGCTGCCCAGTCTCTTCTTAAAAACCTCCAGTGATGAAGCACCCACAACTTCTGGAGGCTTTAGATAGTTAACCAACTTGGTTAATTATCCTCAGTGTTAGGAATTTTCTCCTTAATTCCAGATTGCATCTTTCCTTGATTAGTTTCCATCCTTTGTTTCTTGTCCTGTCCTCTGGTACTTTGGGAAATAAGCTGACCCCCTCCTCTTTGTAGCAACCTCTCAAATATTGGAATACTGCTATTATGTCACCGCTAGTCCTTTTTTTCTCCAGACTAACCATACCCAAATCCTGCATCTGTTCTTTATGTTTTTGTCTCCAGGCCTTTAATCATCCTAGTTGCTCTTCTCAGCACTTTCCCCAAAGTCTCAACATCTTTTTTGTAATGTGGTGACAAAACCTGGATGCAGTATTCCAGGTGTGACCTTACTAAGGTTTTTAACATGATTTCATTCTATGCCTCTGTTTATACAATATTAGCTTTTTTGGCTGCTGCCGCATGCTGCTAGCTCATATTTAAGTGATCGTCCACTAGGACTCCAAGGTCCCTCTCACAGTTGCTGTTTTTGAGCCAGGTTTCGTCTAATCTGTACTTGTACCATTGGCTTTTCCTGCCTAGACGTAAGATTTTGCTTTTCACCACAGTGAATTTCATTTTGTTGGATAGGGCCCGTTGTTCAAGTCTGTCAAGTTCTTCTTGGATCCTGAGCTTTTCTGGGGTCTTGGCTATTTCTGCCAGCTTAGTGTCGCCTGTAAATTTCACGAGATGCCCTTCTTTCCCCTCATCTAAGTCATTTATAAAGATATTGAAGAGTACTGAACTTAAGATGGAGCCTTGTGATATCCCACTGCTTACTTCCCTCTATGTAGATGTAATATCACTAAGGATGACTCGTTGAGTACGGTTTGTCAGCCAGTTACAAATCCATCTGGTGGTGATGCTGTCTATCCTACATTTTTTTTCGCTTACCAAGAAGTAGGTTATGGTCTACTTTTGTCAAATGCCTGACTGAAATATAAACATACTATGTCCACAGCATTTTGCTGCTGTACTAATTTAGTCACTTTGTCAAAGAATGAAATGAGTGAGGTTCCCCCTCATCCAAGCCCTGATCTTGCTGCAAACCAAAAGCTGGAAAAAATCAACTAGTTGCCAGAGACAGATACCAACAGAATCTCTTCTAGACTAGCAAGAGCTCTTCTTAGAGCATCATCCTGTTGTTCATCTTTGGGAGCTCAGCCAATCTATGAAGGATGGAGGCCACCAGGCTTCTTGCCCAAACTTCTCACAGCATGGCTATCCTGAGTCTAGATGGACTGGCAGCAGCCTTGCCCTTCAGGTCTCCTTGCAGTGATCCAAGACAAAGGCTGCCTTTGCTTTTCCAATCAATAAAATGTCGGTTTCTGTTACTCAGAAGGGACACATAGCAAGAAAAGCTATGATCTCTTAGCATGATCTATGGACCAACTATTATGGTTCAGCCTAATTTGTGCACCCCTCGCCTTTACTCCACACCTATCCTTGGTATACAGAGAAGCCCTCGACTGGTGCTTTTACATTCCACTGGCAGGGAGGATCCTTTCGTTCCAAATGGCCAAGAGAGACCAAGCACAGCCTTACAAAGAAAATCAAAT